GCGCCGGAAATTCGTTTCCCACGTCGACTTCTAATGAGTTTTGGACATAGTTTGACGACGAGGGGGGGGGCGCATTTTGTGTTGCCCTGTTTGCATTTCCGCATTTTATCTTGCCCTGTTTCGCCATTGCTTCTCTAGTTCCGGAAATACCCTTAAAGTTTATTGTAACACTACCAGTAAGCATACCTTTAGGGATTTCACTGCTTTCTTGGCCATGACTGATAGCTGCGCCATTTCCTCTTCAACAATTGTCTGGAAACAAACATTTCAAGAATAGAAGGGAAGTTGTTCTCACCAACAAAACATCCGAGACTCTCTGTTACGACACACCGGCTGCGGACCTCGCAAGCACTCGCGAGTCGACTAAGCGAGGTGTCGCGTAAGAGCTCATATGGCACTAGCGCCCTTCTATGGCTACGTTCACACTTTACGATTCGAGCGATTCCAAGATCGCGCTACCAACACATGACTTACTGCCAGCCATTAGAATATAAATGCTAGTTCAGACTCATATAGATTAGGAGTTCTTTTACTGTTGCAGCGGTCCAACAATTAGCAGCGGTGCACGGGTGCTCGAAGCGGTTGCCAAATCGCGCGACTGAATTGCTCTGGTCCGCGAAGTAAAGTAGCAGTATAAACGCGGCCTAATGAGCGTGGAAGGCCATACCACAGCGGCGTGACCGCGCTATTCCGTGAACAGAGATGGTAGCGTCCAGAGAGGAGCCTAGCTGGCCCCGAAAAACTTACTGTTGCTTCCAGCTTTCTTCGAGATTCCGCAAGTCCTTCTTTTTCAAAGCAGCGCTATTCAGCAGCTGTAGGTTCTTTCGCGCGCGAAATGCGCCACGTGCAGCGCAGGATGTACTGACTTACAGGATGGGATAAAATTGGATTAGATGCAGGTTCAGAGAAGGTGAAGATGAACAGGTGGGGAGGGGTTACATTGTGCCAGCGTCTCCCAAAACGAGGCATTCCAGTAGCTCGCTCGCTGAATATGGAACAATATAGAACTGATCACTCTAAATTCGCGGTTTACCCATGGAGTCAACTATTAGTGTGCCAACGGTTTCGAGTCACTATGGAACTTATCCCTATAACGAGTGGGTTGGGAGATCCACGGTGCAGCAGCGCAATTAAGCCGGCATCACATACGCGGCATTCGCACCAAGATCTAATTTTATAAGATACCGAGTGCCGCTGTGTGCTCAAATAGCAGGGAATACCAGTAAGTTAGTGCCATCACCTCCACGTGGATCTCCCAGCCGACACCCTGGACTTATATAACCTGCTTCAGAAGGGTTGGGGATGAAGTTGGCAATTGACTACATGATGCTGGCGCTCCAGCTTCTCACGTAGGTAACATTCAGAGGATACAAGGGCAAATGGCAGCCTTTACGCCCTGATACGTCAACTGAAGAGCTGAGAATATAAGCAAACTAACCGACAATTCCGCCAGGTTGCTGTGCGGATGAGGTTTGAAGGCAAAAAAGAAGAAAAAGCACAGATAAATAAAGGTGATGATACCCAGAAGAATAATTGGGACGTACGAATTACTGTCTGGAAATTTCACTACAGTGACAACAATAACACAAAGCGCGCGCGGCGTTTATAACGAACGGATCGACAGATACGCGACGCGGCCGCACGCGCCTTGAAGGCGATGACCAAATTATGTCTTGGAAAAAACCAGTTTGCAATTTTCTTGAAGCAACGGCAGATTGCAAACTTCAGAGAGGGGTGGGAGAACCAGGGTGGATAAACCTCTAGTTGTAAGTACGAGTGGAATGCTTCAGGGCGAGAATAACTTTGGAAGGGGACTCCAGAATGCCATTAGGTTCACTCTATGACCCCAAAACCCACAGAAGACAGCAGATCATTGAATGGACAAAATAGCGCCGAGAACGTATATGTGTGTCAAAACACATCTTGTCTAAAGCACAACTGGCCACGCCCCCCTTCCGCACTCTGGCGCCCATCCGGCAACAAAATGGTGTTCCTCGCTGTCATTTGCTCTGTGGAGTAGTGAAGTGACTCATGCAAGCTGCGGCCTCCTCCCATCCCCTCCCCCGCCACTCCACCCGCCGCCCTTTCTGAAAGTTGCAGGCTACCATGGCTCTCGCGAAAGTTGGGCCAGTGTAGCCCCTCCGAAGCACATGACGCCAATATCTATTCGATATGTAATTGCTATTCAGAGTCGAAAAAAATTTGCAATAAACATACCAGCCCTCCTGGAATGGAAAGCAGACGTTTTCGCTAAATTGCACAGATTTATTGAAGGGCAGAACGAGACGATCAACGAGTAACGCTATATCGATTGAAGCTTCTTGACTTACGAGCTACGGGACTTTTTGTTGAGCTCTTTTTATCCAGAGGCCGCATTAGAACACCAACGATGAGGTCATTTCTCGTGTCAAATAGGCACACTGCTTCGTTCGGCTGAAAGAGTGACTTGTTCATGAAACCCCCGAAATCTCCAGAAAATCTCTCTTTTCAGGAACTTTGGAAGCTCGGGAGACGCAGCTAAAAGAACAGCAGTGGTCAGTAGGCTGCACCTTGAAGCCCCGCCCACTATGAGAAGCTCCGCCCACCTCCGCAAAATGCCTCAGTTTGGCAGGTTAGATTCTCAACTGGCAGGCTACCTCGCCAATAGAAGCAAACCTCGCCTGCTTCTTTTTTTGGAAACAATCCTTTGGAAGTATAAAAGACAATAAGCGCTTACGTCATCTGCTGAGTGGAACACGTAGTAACAGGTACTTCTACTGCATTTCTTTGTTACCACTCCATGATCGTTTGCGTAAAGAAGCTTAGTTGAACCAACAGAAGAGACATGCTGAAGTAGCTTGGAGATAGTTCCCATAATGGTTTGTTGGAGCTTAATGGGAGAGGTGGGGGCATTGAGAGCAAGGAATTTTCCAAGTCGCTTCAGACACTGATCGCATGGAAGAACGGCGACGGTCACCTATTGATAGACTCCTCCTCTTTACCACCTTAGGACTAAGAGCACCCTAAGAAAAAGGGCACAACTGTTGACTGTCTCCGCCCATGGTGTTTTGATGAATACAGAGGCGATCTCTAAAAACTATACGGCCTGTTGAGGGGCGTGCATTGGAGCGCAGCAGGGCAGCCTTATTGCATCAACTTGGTGCAAAACAGGTTAGGCATCACTGGTGGAAAAAGCCGTCTCTACTGCGCTCCAATCCATGTCCCCTCTTATGCTCATGTTTGCAAGGATGACCATTTATAGACGATTGTTCTTTTTTTTCTATGTCAGAGTTATAACCAGGGCACATCCTACGTTGGGGAATCCCCAGCGAGCGGAGTCGTATTTGGTCTCTGGAGGAGGGAGGGGGGTCGTATTTGTTTTAAGAAAAACTTCTTTCGATAGCTGACTTTTTTCCTGTTTCACGGGTGCTATTCACATCGCTGGGAAAATCCCATTGGGGGGAGGGGGTGCTATTTGTCCCTCCCATTCGCTGGCCCCCCGGGGAAAAAATGAAAAATCTCGCTAAAAGTGGCAGGAGATTGGAATAGAAGTTGACAAGATAGTAAATAGTTAGGATGGGGTGGATAGCGGCGTTGTAGTAAAGTACCAAATTGGGGTAGGGGGGTTGAAGTAACCCCTAGCGGCAGCAAGGGCCCCGGTAGTAATTCTCCGATGGATCAATTTCTTACCGACTTCGAAGGCAGTGGGCGCGGTCGTTGGGGGCGGGCGGTTGTCGCCAACCTCATTGGTTGGGAGGAGTGTGGTCAAACGCAATCCTTCCACCAGTGACGCTGGCAACAACCGTATGCCTCCATCAGTCGTGCCCGCTGCCTTTAACTGATGCATTGGAGGGGTAGACTCACATCATCTGGAAACTTGTGTAGAATATTTTTCTTCGGTTTGGTGTTTCTTCTTCATCGCATCGATGTTGAAGAGGAAGAAAATATTGTTGCGATGCAACACCTAAAACTGCAATTAGCGTGCCGAGCGACAAAATGGGGTCAGACGTCTTCAGCTTCTCCTCTCCCCCCTGTACAAATTGCATTCGCTTGGAGGCCAATCCCCGCTGATGGTGTGGGCGGAACCGGGTGTTACAGGCTTTTCATCATTGGTGCCCCCTGCTTCCAGAGTGGAGGCGGGCACCTATGGGGTACAAGTACAATAGTTGATGTTCTCTGCCCATGCAATCAGAGTGGACTGTGCCTTTAAGTAACTATGGCGTGCTGGTAGGAGTTCCACCAAAACCTTATTTCCTGCCGAACAAATCAGTAATCCTGCATTTTCTACATCTCCTTACGGTTTGCGGTCTGGACAATAACGTTTTCTATCTTCCAGGTGACTTTTGACACTGATCGGCTTGGGAGGGGCATTTCGCTTTTTCGCGAGTTCCAATTGCTAGTCCCTGATAAATTACCCATCAAACCTTGGTGAGACCTGTAGAAATTTGTCCAGTGTGAACGAAGCTCTCGGTATTGTGAGCTTGACACCAATACACACGTCTGCAAAACATGCACCAGCCGAGATCGATCGGAACCAGCAGAATGCTACCCCTCCCTAGCCAGCTGCACCTTAGTTTCTCAATTCAGGAAATAATTTAATAAACTAACCCATAGATGATTCACACCATCGACTGTAGTGTACGCTGCCAGTTCCGGTTCATAGACTGTTTTTGCTGGTAATGGGATCTTAGTTGTGTTGGTCACGCTGAACATGACGTTTTTGAGGCTCTCTCTTGAAAACGTTTTGCGCGATAACCGAAAGGGCGGAGACGGAGATTCCTAGGTCCACCCGAACAAGCAATATATTCTCTAAAAGGGACTAAAAAAGGTTAGTGATCCTTTTGTCGCTTTTGAGGACGAACCGCTCCTGTCATTAGACTATCTCATTTTCCTTTCAGCTATAAATGCCCACTCTGGTCATTTTCCTCTTGCAGACAAGGGTAATCCCCACTCATCATTTCCGCAGGGATGAAAGTCTTGGCGAAATGGATCTGCGATATTTGACCGTGCATGTAAGAGTGTTGATGCCTGAAAACACATTCCGAGAAGCTCAAGAGGCAGGATTTTTCCCGCGTTCTGCGTATGGGGTGTGCTGGTCACAAAACACAAACGTTAAGCCACGTTCCTAACGCAAAAATGCGTGGTAAGGACGCTAATGAGTACGATCGGCGGAAACCCCGTCCATACCAGATAGACGCTCATCGATGGAAGACCGCTGCGCGACGCTGTGATCGCGTCGTGTAGCGAAGAGGGCGATGCGCTGGTGATTTGCACCTGTCTACGCCTCGTCGACCCATACGCTCATAACAACAATCATTGCACGTTGTTGCGCTTGAAGCAGCGTTCACACTTCGCGATGACGCGCGTCACCGTGCTGTAATGCGCTACAATCGCAGGCCGCTCCAGGGTTACAGACGCGAACGAAGCCGCAGACGGGAATCGATCGGCGCAGGTCACTGTAATGAGACGCTGTGGGAGTGGGGGAAGTGGGGGTGTTTTGAACTGCATCACGGTTCAAATGAGGTTTTGGTAGTTCAAGTGGTAGGTTACATGTTTATTGGTAACACATATACATATAGCATGACTACAATCACCAGGACTACAAGCATAAGCATATAAGCATATGGGGCTTAACTACTATCATATTCGTGTCACGAGCAAGTCAAGTTGTGTTGTCTTGTGTTCTTCTTCAGGCGATAGCGGGTCCGCAGTGTCTTGTGTCTCGTCTCTTGTGTTGGCACATCGTGCTCGTTCTTGTCCCTATGTGCTCGTGCTGTTCGAAAACTGCTGTGGAACTGTGGAGCTGTGAAAGCAGTGAAACTGCGAGAAGAAACCGTGAAGAACTGCGAAGAGAATGAGCGAGAGTGCCCGTAGGGCCTCAGCGCGCCACCTTTATAGCCCTGATTGTGGGTGGTATAAATACCGGCTCAGGTGGGCGGTACCAAGGCCTCCTATTGGTTGGTTACAGGCGATGAGCGAACTTTCTAGAAAATGTGCGTTTTGCGACCCGTGCATCCTAGTCATCATGACCAAGGGTCATGACAGGGAAGGGGGGGGAAGGGGAGAAGTAGGAGTGTACTCGCTGCCTACCAACGCAGTCTGGACCAATCGGCACTAACCGCCAGAGCTTGGGGAGAGGAAGATGAGAGTGCACGATTGTCTGAAGGCTGCGCGTGCCCCACTGATCTCAAAACACAAGCGGACGACACCGATCAGTTTCTGTGTGCGGCTACGTTCGCGGCTATAGTAGTGGAGCGTTGTGGCAAATATTACCTGTCACGGCTAAGTCTGAACGCTGCGTAACGTTTACGTCCTCGTGTTGTGCACATGTGCTTCACGCAATATACCGAGTGTCTCTGCGTCTCTGTGCTCTCGCGGGACGACGAAAAACAGTCGGACTTACCTGGAGGCTTTTCGACGGTTTAGTGAATCGTTCAGCATTTACAAATTCATGCACGGACTGAGCTATCTACGAATCGCAGTAGAGGAATGTGCCTTTGACCACTTGCTAGTCTTCAGTACAACGCAGTTTTGCAAGGAAAAGCCACGGGTGCGGCACGTCGCATCGGCTGCGCGACGATGCACACTGTACCTCCTAGCTAGCTGACTCGATACACTCTGACGCTTCCAGATAAATCAGTTAGGTTCGGGTGCAAATGCCGCGCAAGTGAAGCTCTCACCGCGCCGTTTCAAGTTGAATCCAGCGTTCCTTGAATAAGAATGCCCTTACATTGCTGTGAAGTTTACGTAGAGTTTCATCACCGTTTCCAGTATTTCGGTATTGCCAGATATCATAGTGTAACAGAATAGTTCTTCCTGAAGAACACTAATTTGATTCTTGTTTTCTTATGTTTTCATCCGGTTGTCTCACGTGAAGAATGAAAAATCACATACCTAAAGCAGTTCAAAGGTGCAATCCATAGTAATCACATGGGCGGAGATAGTCTACAATTGCGCTCTGTTCACTGACACGTACTTCCGTCATCGCTTGGAGGGACGGGCGCGCCAATGAGGAAGGCGTAATGGTTCCCAGCCATACGGCCAGCGTGGACTCGACTTCTGAGACCAAATCTTTCCAGTTCCAATCAGCAGTAGGCGACGTTGAACTTCGCACGCCAGACGAGGCTCTGTGACACGCTACCATTGCAGCCACACTCCGGCTATAAACGGGGATGCAGCCATAGACAGCTATCGATCGAACCCGGTCCGCTGCTCCTTTAAGAGAGTATGCGAGAATAGGAGGGTCTAGACAGTATGATCAGGCGACGTGTACCCTCTTTCTTGCATACTCTCTCGAAGCAGCAGCGGCCGGTGCCGACCAATAGCCGTCCTATGGCTGCACTTCCATTATAGCACTAGGGCACGAGTGCACTGGTAGCGGATCCACGCGCGTTACAGGGCATTACAGCGCGTTGGCGCGCATCTTCGCGATGGCTAGACCGTGCCGTACTATACAAAATGATTGATCCTTCACGTCGACCACCAAGAAATAAGTATAAAAGCAAGTAGCGCGATAAACAGTCAAGGCACTGCACGATCACTTGAAGGTTGCGTCGTTCCTGGCGAGAAGTGATCACTTTCACGTCGATCTGAGTCATGCCGGTCTCTCTTCCCAAAACGGCATTGAAACGTTGCGAAAGAGTAGAGAAGTAACGCGGTTTGCCACCTAAACCTGCTGGTTCCAGCTTCCAAATTCCTGAGTTCACCTCGCCACTTGGTATACGGCTTTCGTGTTAGCTGCACATAGTACGCGGAAACTCACGACACCGTTACCACTATGGGCCTCTCGTTATCTATAAGCTAGTGGAAGTGGACAGTAGAAGACACTGCGTGGTCAGTATCGGTCTCATTACAGCACATTTTCAGGTTGTTTATACATTGAAAAGCCCTAACTGCCAGACCTTGCCTTGATGCGAGGAATACTCGT